CAGCCTTAGAAAATGTATTTCTTAAATAGTAAGACTTGAAAGTCAAAATTACTCCTTGATCCATGGGCTGCAGAATGAGCAGGAATATTTTGAAAGGAAATCTTCCTTCCTGAGCAGTAGGTCTCAACATTAGGCTTAAAATATTTAGAACCATGCTGTAAACAAATGTGCTGTCATCGAAGTTTTGTTGTTCCATTTCTAATGCACAGGCAGAGAAGATTTAGCATAATTCTTAAATGCCCTGGGATTTTCAGAATGGTAAATGAGCATTCGCTTCCACTGAAAGTCATCAGCTTGCCTTAACCCCCAACAAGAGAATCATCCTGTTCTTGGAAACTTGGAAACTAGGCATTGACTTCTCCTCTATAGCTATGAAGTCCTAGATGGCATCTTCCTTGAATAGCAGGCTATTTTGTCTCCATTGAAAACCTGTTCTTAGTGTAACCACCTTCATCAATGATCTTAGCCAGATCTTCCGGATAAACTTGCTGCTTCACCTTGTACTTTTTTCTTATGAAGACAGCTTTTTCCTTAAACATCATGAACCAAACCCTGCTAGTTTCAAACTTTTCTTCTATAGCTTTCTCAGCCTTTACAGAATTAAAGAGGGTTAAAGCCTTGTTCTAGATTGGGCTTTGGTGTAAGGTAATGTGGCTGGTTTGATCTATCCAGACCACTCAGCTTTCTCCACATCAGCAATAAGGCTATTTGTTTTCTTTGTGGTTTTTTTTTTTTTGTTTGGTTGGTTGTTTTTTTTTTTTGGAGACAGAGTCTCGCTGTCGCCCGGACTGGAGTGCAGTGGTGCGATCTCGGCTCACTGCAAGCTCTACCTCCCAGGTTCATACCATTCTCCTGCCTCAGCCCCCCGGGTAGCTGGGACTACAGGTGCCGGCCACCACGCCTGGCTAATTTTTTTGTATTTTTAGTAAAGACAGGGTTGTACTGTGTTAACCAGGATGGTCTCGATCTCCTGACCTCATGATCCTCCCGCCTCGGCCTCCCAAAGTGCTGGGATTACAAGTGTGAGCCACCGAGCCAGCCAGGCTGTTTGCTTTCTTACCATTCACATTTTCACTGGAATAGCACTTCTAATTTCCTTCAAGAGCTTTTCTTTTGTATTTACAACTTGGCTGTTAGATGCCAGAGGCATGGCTTTTGGCCTGTCTTGGCTTTGCTATGTGCCTCCTTCACTAAGCATAATCATTTCTAGCTTTTGATTTTACATGAGAAATATGCAACTCTTCCTTTCACTCCTATGCTTAGAGGCCATTGTAGGGTTACTAATTGGCCTCATTTCAATATTGTTGTGTCTCAGGGAATTGGGAGGCCAGAAGAGAGGGAGAGAAACAGGAATAGCCAGTTAGTGGAGCTGTCAGAACACACAACATGTATCAGTTCACCATCAAAAGGGCATGATTTATGGCACCCCATAACAGTTACTTGCAACAGTAGCAGCAAGATCCCCAAAACATATTATAATGAAAAAGCCTGAAATATTGTGAGAATTACCAAAATGTAACATAGAGATACAAAGTGAACACATGCTGTTGGAAAAACTTCACCAATAGACCTGCTCAGTGCAGGGTTGGCACAAACCTTCAATTTGTAAAAAAGAAAAATACCTCAGTATCTTTGAAGCACAATAAAATGAGGTATGGCTTAGTAGAGAACACCATTTTTAAAGGCTCAGTGTGAAAGGTCTTAAATTGAGGGGGTATTTTTGTGTTCTGGTTAAGACACCATTCCATTTCAGGGTTTTTTGTTTTTTTAAGTGGTTTCCCAACACTCCCTGGGGAGCCAGAATTCCATTGGCCATCCTCACATCAGGAACAGTGAAAAAGGATAATGTTTACATGGCACCCGGGGTAATCAGATAAGGCCATAGGACAAGAGTCAGGGTTCCACCTAATCTGAGCCCTACCATCCTGATGTCTAAGGGCCCCTGTAGCCCACAGGCACCAACTGCAGTCTTTTGTCCATGTAACAAGTTGCAGCTCAAGTTTCAAAGTCAGGCTGCTGGAGTTCAACTCCAAGGTCCGTCATTTCCTGGCTGTGTGACCGGTAGTTTCTTAACCATTCAGCCTCAGTTTCCTCATCTATAAAAAGGAATGATAGTACCACGTATGATTGCCAGTTAAATGCAATGTGTACATTATCTCATTTAGTCTTCATGCAAACCCTCAACACTCAGTCACAAAAACATCAAGCATGTCCACACGTTTCTTAACAAAGAATATGTATGCTACCACATACCAACTCCCCTTTGTCAGGGAATCCAATCTGGATTGGTTTAAAATAATTATAGGAAAGAAATTCAGCAGTGAAATACATCACTATATTGGATGCTTCCTATTTGTCATTTACTGTATTAATTTCTAGCACTTGTGCCGTGTAAGGGCTGATGAACTCAAACACTAGCTCAGCTTTTTGCATGTTCTTTTTTACCCACCTGGAGGTCCAGTGTTTCCTGTGATACTGAACTCTAAACTGCTAAATAGCCACATTTTACGGAAGCATATTCTTCATACCTTTTTTTTAACTTAAATCTCTAACTTTGCTCTATCTTTATTTTTTTTTTTTTTGTGGCGGCGGGAGTTGGGTTTTTTTGAGACAGAGTCTCGCTGTCTCAACCAGGCTGGAATGCAGTGGCGCAATCTCGGCTCACTGCAACCTCCACCTCCTGGGTTCAAGCGATTCTCCTGTATCAGCCTCCCAAGTACCTGGGATTACAGGCACGCACCACCATGCCCAGCTAATTTTTCTATTTTTAGTAGAGACGGGGTTTCACTGTGTTGGCCCGGCTGGTCTGGAACTCCTAACCTCAGGTGATCTGCCCGTCTTGGCCTCCCAAAGTGCTGAGATTACAGGCATGAGCCACCATGCCTGGCTAATCTGTTCTTCACTTTCTTTTCCACACTCACTACAAAAGGGCAAGGAAGTCGTCACATCTGCAGTTACTAACGCCGTCACAGCTCTGTTTTGGCCATCATCGGTTTATTAACTAAACTCTCTTCTCTCCCAACTCCAAATCTTTGTTTCTTCTAGATTCAGTTCTCTCTCCGAAGAGCCTAGTCCAACCTGGTCCCTGCAACTGCCCTGATACCTTAGGAGATAACCTGGGCTTATTTAACTTCTCCTGGCCTCCATGTCTTTTTCCAGCCTGAGTCAAAGTACATTCTTTGCTCTAACCTAATTCTTTTAAGAATGACAGAATAAAATAAGTAAAATACATATTAGGAGGGAGAGGGAGGAGGCAATCAAGTTCTTGATTAATCCTTATTATAACTATGAGTTCAAGGGCAATTATATAATCTTGTTAAAGCAGCAGGCTAAAAACTTGACATTGAATTGTAATTTCTGTTGTGTATCTAATTACTATGAAAGCCTATTTCCACATGTTTCATCATTTATAAAGGGAATTGCAACCCCCACCATGACCAACAAAATAGTTTCAGAGATTGGGAGAGACTAAGCTAGTCAGTGTACACCAAGCTTGTCCAGCCCACAACTCGCAGGCCTCAGAGTGGCCCAGGATGGCTTTGAATGCCACCCAAAACAAATTAGTAAACTTTCTTAAAACGTTATACACAGATCTTTTTTTTTTTTTTAAAGCTCATCAGCTATCGTTAATGTTAGTGTATTTTATGTGTGACCCAAGACAATTCTTCCAATGTGGCCAAGAGAAGCCAAAATATTGGACCACCCCTGAGTAAACACTGAAATTAATTAACTTCTTCCCTTTTGGATTTTAATTACATAATAATAAGCTCATTTTTTAATACTTCACCCATTCCTGTATTGTTTGAAACATGAAAATCCTTTCCCCGTTCCCAAAGGTAATGACATTAACAGTCTGAATGTCATTCCAAGCTTTTCTGCAGTCATTCAAACATATCACTCTTTTTCTAATATTTTATCAGGAAAATCTTCACACATACAGAAAGAAGTTTACAGTAAACCATCCACCTAGATCTGCCATTAACATTTTACTCTACTAGTTTCATCACATCTTCATTCATCCATCAATCGATCTTGTTCATTTTTGCATTCATAATAAACTGCAGACATTAGTGTATTTCCACCTAAATACTTCATCATTCATACCATTAATGATTCAGTCTTGGCCGGGTGCTGTGGCTCATACCTGTAATCCCAGCACTTTGGGAGGCCGAGGCGAGCAGATCAGCAGGTCAGGAGATCGAGACCATCCTGGCTAACAGGGTGAAACCCCATCTCTACTAAAAATACAAAAAATTAGCCAGACGTGGTGGTGGGCGCCTGTAGTCCCAGCTACTCCAGAGGCTGAGGCAGGAGAATGGCGTGAACCTAGGAGGCGGAGCTTGCAGTGAGCCGAGATCGTGCCACTGAACTCCAGCCTGGACAACAGAGCGAGACTCTATCTCATAAATAAATAAATAAATAAATACAATGATTCCCGAGGGGCGGAGCTTGCAGTGAGCCGAGATCGTGCCACTGAACTCCAGCCTGGACAACAGAGCGAGACTCTATCTCATAAATAAATAAATAAATAAATACAATGATTCTGTCTTTTACAGTTTTTTTCCTTCTGAAGTAACTATTACGTGAGACACAAGTCTTAAATGTACATTTGCTAAGTTTTGGTAAATGTATACACCTGTGTAACCCCAGCCCTATCAAAGATACAGAATAGTACCTATCATCCCCAGAAAGTTCTCTCCTGCCCTGTCCAAGTGAATCTTTATCCCACCCCTCCGGAAATAACTCCTATTCTGATGTTTTTCCACCAGAGATATCACAGGATACCACCTGGTTCTGTTTCATGATTCATTGTGAGCCATAGATGTACAAATGTAGGCTGAATTATTGGTCATAGGCCATACTGATGTTAAGTGCTTCTTGTTGAAAGGATTCATATTTATGATGATTTTAATTCTATAGTCACTGCTGCTTAGTCAGATTATTTGACTAGTATGGATGGATTTTACGAAAATTATGTGTAATTCTTTTTTTAACCTCAGGGAACCTCCACAAGGAGCTCATTTTCTTGCCAGAAGTCTGGATGATGCCTTAAAACTTACTGAACAACCAGAATTAGCAAATAAAGTAGACATGATTTGGATAGTTGGTGGCAATTCTGTTTATAAGGTAAGTGTAGTTATTGGTAAATAAAAAGAAATGTTCTATTCTACTTTCTTTCAGCTTCCCTGCCATTTAAAGGAAGTGGAAGAAAACAGATAAAACTCGTCGTCTGAACCTTTAAAAAATTAAGCCATGAGTATAGGAAGTAGCACATTATCTGTACTGTAAATTATTTGTTGTCTGTTCAAATTATATGTTGTTTGATACTATACAAACTAAATAGAAATGCAAAAATAAATATTTTAGTCTGTATCAGCCTATCTTTTATAGGCTATTATTATTTATGGCCTGTTTATTATTTATTTATTCATTTATTTTTGAAACAGGTTCTTGCTTTGTCACCCGGGCTAGAGTGCAGTGGCACTGTCTCACTGTAGCCACAAGCTCCCAGGCAGGCCCAAGCAATCCTCCCACCTTTCCTCCCAAGTAGCTGGGACTTTAGGCACACACCATCATGCCTGGCTAATTTCTGTATTTTTTGTAGAGTCAGGGTTTTGCCATGTTGACCAGGTTGGTCTTGAACTCCTGGGTTCAAGCAGTTGATCTCCCAAAGTGCTGGGATTACAGGCGTGAGCACCTAGCCTATTTATCTTTTTAATTGGCAAATAATTGCGCATATATATTACATACAACATGTTGTTTTGAAATGTGTATATATTGTAGAATGGCTAAATGGAGCTAATTAACATATGTATTACCCACTTATTTTATGTGGTAAGAATACTTAAAGTCTACTAGCTTAGCAATTTTCAAGAATACATTTATTAACTATAAAATAATAGATGTTGTACAATAGATCTCTTTAACTTACTCCTCCTACTGAAATCTTGTATCCTGTGACCAACATCTCTCCAGTACCAGTCTACTTTCAAATCAAAGAATAATTGATGTTTCCAATTTAAAATCCATTCTAAATCTTTTCCTGAGAAATGTAGTTGCATTGCACTGGTTTCTACTACCTAAATGTACCCTAGATACACTTTGTCTTTCAGGATGAATCTCTCTCTTACTGAGAAAGGGTTGGGGCTCTCAGTTGATATACACTAACTAGATGTATATGAATTTATTACAAGCAGAAAACTTCCTCAACCAATTATTTTTTGGTTTTTTTGTTGTTGTTGTTGTTTTTTGAGACGGAGTCTCACTCTGTCGCCCAGGCTGGAGTGCAGTGGCATAATCTCGGCTCACTGCAAGCTCCGCCTCCTGGGTTCACGCCATTCTCTTGCCTCAGCTTCCCGAGTAGCTGGGACTATAGGCGCATGCCACCATGCCCAGCTAATTTTTTTGTATTTTTAGTAGAGACGGGGTTTCACCATGTTAGCCAGGATGGTCTTGACCTCCTGACCTGCTGATCTGCCTGCCTCAGCCTCCCAAAGGGCTGGGATTACAGATGTGAGCCACTGCACCTGGCCAATATACCTCTTTTTTAATACCAAATGACTTCCAGCTTTAAAAGTTTTGAGGATAATAGAATTCTTTGCCTTTTAAAACACTAATGAAAAATTAACATTTATGAGGAGTAAGAAAAATCAGTTTCTGCCATTTGGGTGGTCTTGTGGTAAGATATATACACTGAAATTATTTTAGAAAGAAGAGGTAGGTGGAGGCCTGTAATCCCAGCACTTTGGGAGGCCAAGGCGGATGGACTGCTTGAGGTCAGGAGTTCAAAACCAGCTTGGCCAACATGGTGAAACTCCATCTCTCCTAAAAATACAAAAATTAGTTGAGTGTGGTGGCGGGCCCCTGTAGTCCCAGCTACTTGGGAGGCTGAGGTGGGAAAATCACCTGAACACAGGAGGCAGAGGTTGCAGTGAGCTGAGATCGTGCCACTGCACTCCAGCCTGGGTAACAGAGAGACTCTGTCTCAAAAAAAAAAAAAAAACTCAGTTTCTTGGGCTCCTGTTTCTAGAACCTCTTATTTTCTCAATTTGTGATAGAAGAAAATGGACATTTTTTCCTTGATATTTTCATCCAAGTATGAATTTCTTCTAAGAAAACAAGTTGTTTCTTTATTTTGTTCAGTGCCTACCACACTTTGAATGATTCATTACCATAGTCACTAGAAAATGTATTCTTTAAGCAATATAAGTACGTAAATGCATTTATATAATATGATAAATCTATATATAGATAAATAGGAAGTAGAATCTTCAAATGATATTTTTACATTATCCACCTACCACACATCACAACAGCTTGTAGATATCATTCAGGCTTATCTTCTGTGGGCCAAATCGGACCTCCCAGCCTATTTTTGTAAAGAAAGTTTCATTGGAACACAGCTCCACCCATTCATTCAGTACTGTCTGTGGCCTACAAAGGTAGGAAACCCTATGGCCCTCAGAGCCAAAAATATTTACCATCTCTCCCTTTACAGAAGGTTTGCTTATATAATCACTCTTTTTTTTTTTTTTTTTTTTGAGACTGAGTTTTGCCCTTTTTAACCAGGCTGGAGTGCAATGGTGCGATCTCGGCTCACCACAACTTCCGCCTCCCAGGTTCAAGCGATTCTTCTGCCTCAGCCTCCCAAGTAGCTGGGATTACAGGCATGCACCACCATGCCCAGGTAATTTTGTATTTTTAGTAGAGACGGGGTTTCTCCATGTTGGTCAGGCTGGTCTCGAACTCCTGACTTCGGGTGATCCACCCGCCTCAGCCTCACAGAGTGCTGGGATTATAGGCATGAGCCACCACGCCTGGCTTATAATCAACTTTAATACAGAACTTCACCACCACAGTCAATCTAATAATCCAGACAGCTCCTAAGTGACTAAGGGGCAAGTAACATAGACAGCATGTGCAGGACAAACTGATAATTCACGTCCTAGGCAGGACAGAGCAGAACAGCACAAGATTTCTTCACACTACTTAGAACAGCATGTCATTTAAATCTTATGCATTATTTCTGGAATTTTCCAGTTAATATTTTCGGATCACAGTTGGCCACAGATAACAAACTGGAAAGTGAAACTGCAAATAAGGGGAGACTCTGCATTCCACTTTGTAAATTTTTGGTATAGTAAGAATTGGTAGAGCATCTATTTGGTTGTAGCAAAAATAATAAATGATTTAATAAAAAATGATGTTTTGAAAATAAAAAGTAAAATTTGTTCTGTACCCTTATTTGGAATTTTAAAAATAAACACTTGGATTTGTTGTGTGTGTGTGTGTGTGTGTGTGTGTGTGTGTGTGTGTTTTCTATAAGCTATTTAAGATCAAGAATTACTGCTTTCTTAGAATTGCAATTAAGACATACTTTTTATGAATGAGAATTTTAAGACACTCATTCTAGGGCAACTTTTTCTACAGAAATTATCAACCATATTTTAGGGAGTAGTTAGAAAAGTCATGTACAATATTAAGCCAAATGTTAATACAATTGTTAGCAACAAGAAGCAGAATAAATTACCTACCTACTAGCATTGTAATTATCTTCTGAGAATCGGAAGCATTACTGAATTTTATGTATATGTACTAAGTATGCTCTTGGGGTTTTCCATAGTCAAAGTCTCATTAAATTGTACTATCTTATTCATATATGTTAATGTAAATTTTTCTATGGAGAACAACTAGGTAATTTGGGGCTCTTAACTCTAAACAGCCAAAGGGAAAACAATAAAAGAGAATGCTTAAATTAAAAAGTTCTTGTAAGCAAACTGGAGGCCAAACTATATTTAAACTCAGTCTGTCATAATTATTGTTAATGGTTAGTGTCATTCTCAATATAACTAAGGCATACTTTGCAGCACCCCAGATGAAATAATAGGATATTTTAATAATATGCTTTGGCAGTACCAAGCATATTTTTAATACTTAGTATAAACTAACTAAACATAAATCTTAGAGTTTCTATGTCTTTTGATACACATTAAGAAAATTGATGTTGTTTTATTTCAAAGGAAGCCATGAATCACCCAGGCCATCTTAAACTATTTGTGACAAGGATCATGCAAGACTTTGAAAGTGACACCTTTCTTCCAGAAATTGATTTGGAGAAATATAAACTTCTACCAGAGTAAGTATATTATTTTAAAAAAAAAAAAAAAAAAAGGCCAGGCACAGTGACTCATGCCTGTAATTCCAGCACTTTGGGAGGTTGAGGGGGGCAGATCACCTGAGGTCAGGAGTTGAAGACCAGCCTGACCAACGTGGCGAAACCCCATCTCTACTAAAAATTAAAAAAATTAGCTGGGCATGGTGGCACATGCCTGTAATCCCAGCTACTTGGGAGGCTCAGGCAGGAGAACTGCTTGTTCCTGGGAGGCAGAGGTTGTAGTGAGCCAAGATCACGCCATTGCACTCCAGCCTGGGTGACAGAGCAAGACTCTGTCTCCAAAAAAAAAAAAAAATTTTTAAGCCCTGAGCATGTGATGTCTTGTTTAGGTTCTATTTCGTTCAGCAATGTTTTATACCTTTCAGTGTTAAATTCATTCTTATGTATTATATTCCTTTTGATGCTGTTGTAAATGGTGTTTTCTTTAGTTTCAGACTGTTCATTGCTATTTACAGAAATGCAAGTAATTTTTGTTTATTGATCTTGTATCTTGCAACCTTGCTGAACTCATTTAGTAATTCTGATTCTTAGTAGATTCCTTAGGATTTTCTCTACCGTATAATGTCATCTGCAAATATAGGTTTACTTCTTCCTTTTTAATCTGGATTTTTTTTACTTTTTTCTTTGCCTAATTGCCATGGCTAGACCTGCCAATACAGTGTTGACTAGAAGATAGCAAGAGCAGACTTACTTGTCTTGTTCCTAATCTTAGAGGGGAAGCTTTTCTCTCTCATTAAGTGTGATTTAAGCTGTTAGTGCCTTTATCAAATTGAGGAAGATCCCTTCTGTTTCTAGTTTATTTAGTATTTTTTATCATGAGAGTATTATAGATTTTGTGACATACTTTTTCTGAGTCTATTGAGATGATCATGTGGTTTTTGTCTTTTATACTAATACTTTAATGTACTATTAATATGGTATATCACATTGATTTTCACGTTAAACTAATGTTTCTGGGATAAATTCTACTTGGTATCTAATCCTTTTTATATGTTACTGGGCTTAGGTTGCTAGTATTTTGTTGAAGATTTTTGCATTTATATTCAGAAGGGGTGATTTATAGTTTGTTTGTTTTTCTTTTTGAGACGGAGTCTCGCTCTGTCACCCAGGCTGGAGTGCAACAGCACAATCTCAGCTCACTGCAAGCTCTGCCTCCCAGGTTCACGCCTCCTGAGTAGCTGGGACTACAGGTGCCCACCACCACGCCCGGCTAATTTTTTGTATTTTTAGTAGAGACGGGGTTTCACCACGTTAGCCAGGATGATCTCGATCTCCTGACCTCATGATCCGCCCGCCTCGGCCTCCCAAAGTCCTGGGATTACAGTTTTTGTTTTTGTTTTTTTTAAATGCCTTCCCCTGGTTTTGTTATCAGGATAAAAGTGACCTCATAGAGTGAATTAGGAGATGCTCTCTTCCCTTCTGTGATTTTGAAAGAGTTTGTTATGGATTGGTAGTACTTCTTAAATGTCTTAGAAAATTTTAAGAGTGAATAGATTGAGATAGGAATAAGGAAATTGCTTCAAAGTGGAGATTCTAAACAAGGCTATGGGAGAAAGCAAAAAACTCTTCCATTGCAACATTTGATGGTCATTTGTACTTTCAGGCATCTACTAACGTAACATCATAACAGCCTCTTTAATGGAATGGAGGGAATTCTCTAACGGGAGACCTAGAATAAGTCAATCCTTCATTCTCTGGAGAAAGGAAACCTGTGAAGATAAAGTGAATATACCTTGTCCCTGGAAAACTAACATTGCTCAATTCTGGAGCGGCTTTCTCTCCAGATCTCTGTGCGCTGGGGAACTTGGATTTGCTTTCTACTGTCCAAATATAAACTTTGGTCATTCTCCACCTCCCCTATCCCTTTCCCCACAGCTACTCACTTAGTTTAAGCCCCGTTGTCTCTATCAGTTGACCTCTTGTGGTTATATAGGTTTCTGTTCAAATATAATGTATTTTATTAACACTATTCTTCCCGATTTAAAAAATAAGACACACTAGTATAGTGAAATACCGATGAAAGAGAGAACTGTGAGGCAAGAAGAGAATAAAATTAGAATGTAGAAGGAGCCACAAGTGATGGAAGCCAGAGCAGAAGGTCATATTAATAAAGTAAGGTGGTTTTACTTTTGTCTGCCTTCATCCCTGTAGGTCATTGTTTGGGCAGTCAATTTTTCAACAGCACTGTGCCAGCCTGTCCTCTAGGGCTCTGCTCTTACTCATCTTACCTGGAAGAAATCTATCTCAGACTATTTCACACTAGACCCCAACCAAACCAGCAGGCCCAGATATTTTATATCAGCAGTTTTCTACTTAATGAGCCCCCCAACAGGCTTTTACTTCTAGTTAACAATCTTGTGTGTGACCACATAGTCAAAGAGAATAGAGATTAAAAGAGGCCTGTGGAGGCAGTAGTTGGCTCCAGAGCTGGGACAGATGCCCCTTGTCAATGGACACCTTGAAGTAGGTTTTGGATAGGCTGATGTTTCTTCTTCTGACCCTACAACTTCCTGTCTGGATGCTGGCATACTCGTCCACATTACTCAGCTGCCCCTTTGCTCCTGAGCCCGTGCTTCCTGTAGAGTCTTGATTTTAATTGTGTTTTGGTTTTTCGGTTTATTTTTTGTTTTTGAGATACAGTCTTGCTTGGTTGCCGAGGCTGGAGTGCAGTGGCACGATCTTGGCTCACTGCAACCTCCTCCCAGGTTCAAGCGATTCTCCTGCCTCAGCCTCCCAAGTAGCTGGGATTACAGGTGCCCGCCACCATGCCCAGCTAATTTTTGTATTTTTAGTAGAGATGGGGTTTCACCATGTTGGCCAGGCTTGTCTCGAACTCCTGACCTCAGATGATCCACCTGCCTCGTCCTCAGCTTCCCAGAGTGCTGGGATTACAGGCGTGAGCCACCGCCCCCGGCCCAGAAACTTCTTGATATGTCGCTTTTGTCTTATGAACTGACAGTCTTGACACTTGAGAATTTTGCACCAAAAATGTATGTAGATGTTACTTTTCGTGACTCATTTCAGAGAGACTAAAATTATAATAGAAAATGGTTAATAGAAACATTGCTTCTTCCTCTGAAATATAAATTATTCCAGAAAGCATCTTTTTCCCTATAATTTTGTTACTTTGTACCCCTAATTTTTTTTTTACCAAAATTGCATAATCTCTCATTAGTTAACAAAGGTTAATGTCTGTTATTACTCAGCAATGTATTGAATATCACGAGACTTAAACGTTTACTGTGTTTTCCCTGCCTACAGTGAGTTTTAAAAATAGAGAAATGAAACAAACCAATAATACTAGTAGGCACCATTTATAGAACACTTAATGTGTTAGGCACAATGCTACATTCTTTTTTGGTTTTTTGGGGTAGGGGCGGAATCTTGCTCTGTCATGGAAGCTGGAGTGCAGTGGCGCCATCTTGGCTCACTGCAACCTCCACCTCCCAGGTTCAAGCAATTCTCCTGCCTCAGCCTCCTGAGTAGCTGGGATTACAGGCACCCGCCACCATGCCCAGGTAATTTTTGTATTTTTATTAGAGACAGGGTTTCACCATGTTGGCCAGGCTGGTCTTGAACTCCTGACCTCAAGTGATCCACTCACTTTGGCCTTCCAAAATGCTGGGATTACAGGCATGAGCCACTGCACCTGGCCAACAATGCTAAATTTTTTACAAGGATGAAGACTTTGACAGCCAGTCTCAGAAGCATGTCACACAGCAGAACCAGAATGAAGCGCAGTCTGATTCAAGCAGGTGTTCCTGACTACCTGGAGCATACTGGGGTGCAGCCTGCATAGTACTGAAGAAGTAACCAAAGATTGGGGTTCACTGGAGGCTGGAATGGTCAGAAGATTCCTCAGTGGAGAAGCTGGGTTTTGGATGGGAAGCTGGAGAGAACACAGGTTTAAGTGAGAGTTAGGGAACAGGAATAGCAGATCCTAATAAAGGAATTACAATCTGCCACACATTGTGGAATTAGAGCAGTGTGGTGTCCATCAATCAAACTGAAGCAGAGAACCTGTCACTGTCCAGGGCACATAATTTCAGTTATGCCCTAAACAGCTTCGGGTTGTATTTTGTCTTTTGCTTACACAAGAAATGTGATACCAAATGTAAGTCTTGCCAAAAGTTCTTAAGAAATTTCCTATGAGCTGGGTGATAGAGAGGAAAGATACGAGGGAAACTGCTAACTGGTTTTTGAGAGGAGGAGGAATCCAAAGGAAACAAAAGAGGAGAAATTACACTTTTTGTTTTCTAACTTTCTATATAGTTTATAGTTTTTGTCTTATTTGCATATGTAGTATATTTGCATGATATTTATCCAACTTGACAGTGGTTTACCATTGTGAAGAAAAAAGGGAAACTTTTTATTTGCTTTATGCATTATTGATGCGTTTAAACTGAGAATGACGGAAGCTGTGTTTTTAATGGACACATAATTTAATTACGTATTTTTTTCTTTTACAGATACCCAGGTGTTCTCTCTGATGTCCAAGAGGAGAAAGGCATTAAGTACAAATTTGAAGTATATGAGAAGAATGATTAATATGAAGGTGTTTTCTGGTTTAAGTTGTTCCCCCTCCCTCTAAAAAAAGTATGGATTTTTACATTAGAAAAAAAGTATTTTGCAGAGGTTGGCAGTAAGCCAAAGATGGTGGGCCACTGCCTGGGCCAGCCTGGTGACATGGTAAACGCTTCTCCAAATAAAAATACAAAAATTAGCGCGGCATGGTAGTGGGCCTGTACCCAGTTATCTGTGGGCGAGGCCAAGAGAATTGCTTGAACTCCTGGAGTGGAGGTTGCCTTGTGACTGAGATGACCACTGCCCCGCCCCAAGACGGGCCGATGGCAGAGGAAGACTGCTCAAAAAAAAAAAAAAGAAAAAAAAATAGCTGGCTTGGTGGCACACCACCCTGTAAATCCCAGCTAGCAGGGAGGGAGCAGAATTACTTGAAGCCTAAGGAGGCAAAGTTGCCAGTGAGTTCCAGAGATTTTGCCCGTCCACTGCATTCGCAGCCTGGGCCATCAGAACTGAGACTGTCTCAAACCCCAAGAAAAAGTGATTCACTTCTCCTTATAGAGTCTCTAAATCCTATTTCCATTAGTCATTTAATCATGGGCATTTCTTTTCTTTCTCTCTGCGGAAGCATCTTTAAATTACAGTTCAATCTTTCATAAGAAACTATTGTCTGAATCCTTCAACAAGCTGGCCGCCCAACTTTTTCCTCAACAGTCCATCGTTCCTAATTAGGCCATTTACAGTTTTTAGTTTACCCTAGCCTGTATAAGAAAAAAGCATTCTGAAGGCCAATCTATTGAGTTTGTTTACTGTTCTCTGAGTTACTGATATTAATAGCTTTTTATGTATTTGCATTACACGTTAAGAAAGGTCTGCGCTCCTTAAATAAGAGTTCAAAGCAAGTAAATCTTTTTTGATAGCAGGGTTTTGGTCCTGTCCACCCAGGCCTGCTGGAGTGCATGACATCGATTTTGGTTCACTGCAGCCTCCACCTCCTGGGCTCAAAGTGACCCTCCTAACCTAGCCTCCCAAGTAGCGTGGGACTCCCAGGCAGGCACCACCCAAGCCCAGCTAGTTTTTTGTATTTTTGTTAGAGACGTGGTTTTGCGCATGTTCCCAGGCTGAGCAAAATCGTAATCTTTACCAACCCTGCCTTCTGAAATCTCATATACTAAGCTTATAATTTGCTGCCTGGTTTTGGGCTTTCCCTGAGAGTTTTAGAGATGGAATTAAAACTTTTTTTTTTTTCTTTCCCCTTAGAGGCAAAAGCAGTGGCCTTACAAACTAAAGGGCAGGCTTCGGATTAGCCTGAGATGTTTGTTTAAAAGGCAGATTCTGGGAGCCTTCTGATTCAGGAATAAGGCAGGTAAACATTTTGAGAAATGAAATTGCCTTAAGGAAGTGGGTATGTCACAACACAATTTTAATCTCACAGAAACAAAAAAGGCTAATCTGAACCATTTATAAACATTCCGTTTTATTTTTACATGTTTGCCCAAAGGTATCAACTTACAGGTGCCTGTTCCATAAGGAATCTGGAAAAAGTAAGCTTGATTTTATTGTTTCCTAACACAACTAATCCTTTGTTTGTTGATTCTTGGCCTTAATTCTAAATGTTTTTTTCCTTTCTCTTTTTAAGGCTGACCCCTGGAAGATATAATGCCCATCAGTAGTTTCTTTGAAATTTGTGTGGAGTGTACAAAGACATACAGGAGCCCAGCACTAATGAACATACGTGTAACTCCCTTTATTAAGAACGAATTGTTCTTATTGCCAAGAAATAGATGAAAATGGTAAGTAACATTAAATTGGCTGCCAAAAAGTCTTACAATGAAAAACCACAGTCCTGCCAGTTGTTCTTTCCCAGAGCAAACAATTTTCATTCTTAGTTTTTCCCTTCTGTAGTTTACCTTCATGGGTTTTTCCAAATGTTATCTTTAGTTTTTCAAGTGAAGTACGATACTTCAAGACAATAAATTTAAAAAAGCTTCTCAGTTTATAATGCAATCCTAACAGTCCCCTGTCCCATCTCTTCCTAATTCCCATAGCAATGACTTTAAACTCTTCCAGCATGTCTTTCCTGTGTTTTCCCTCACATAACTTAAGCTTAGTCATTTCTTGATTTTTTGTACATTATATGAGTCCTGATAAGTGAACAGGTGAGGATTTAAGCTCTTACACCAAATGCCGTTATCTCACCTTCCTCCCATTTGTCCCAAAGTGGTTACCATAATTTAGGGGCTAAAGCAGTCACCACATCATATCACTGGTAGTATGCTCCTTGTTGAGAAACACGTATTATGCTCTTTCCTATCCTGTACTTCTTTCTGCCCCTAGAATTATGATGGCCTAACCACTACCTTCCCCCCTTTTTTTTTACTGTTGCTTTATCTTTTCAATGAACTTCCAAAATGCCCCAAATGGTCCAATAACTTATTATTTTTGAAGAGAAGGGATCCTCACTAAGGTAAGCCGGCTTGTCTGGACTCTGGGCTCAACCAAGCCTCTTGCGAGCCTCCTGGTAGCTTGGGAACTACAGCATGGGCCCCCATTCCACCCGCTAACCTATCTAATATTTACTGTTTCTTTTTAAGCCAGCTCCATAGCTTGAATAATTGCCCCTGTGATGGACCCCTAATTGCCTGGACTATGTCATTCTCTGGTTTGTGTACCCTCACTTTGCTGGAGTATTCTCCCAATAGTCTTCTCAAAAAAAGGGTACATGAGTTACCCCCTGAGTCTTTGCTTGTTCTAAAAATGTATTTTACCTCACCCTTGATTTAATTTGGGTGATAAGATTTATCAGTTGAAAATAACTCAGAATCTTGAAAGGCATGGTTTCAATTGTTTTCAGATTCCGTTTCAAGAGGTCTCTTCTGCACCCAGGCTCGGAGTGCAAGTGGCACAAATTACGCTTACCAGCCTGGACTCGGCTAAAATTGATCCCTCCATCTCAGCTGCCCTGAGTAAGACGGGAAATAATAAGGTAGCACCCAATTGCCCCAGCTTAATTTTTGTTTTTTGTAGAGGTGGCTTTGGCCATGTTGTCCCAAGCGGTC